AAGGAGGGAGAGAGAGAGAGAGAGAGAGAGAGAGAGAGAGAGAGAGAGAGAGAGAGAGAGAGAGAGAGAGAGAGAGAGAGAGAGAGAGAGGGAGAGATATTGATATACATGTGTATGTATGTATGTATACACACAAATTTAATACTTATCCTTCTGCTGCTAAGCACACTGATAGAACATTTATCTACAATTCTTCATAATGAGACTGGATATGCTGATAATTTAGTATAGTGTTAATATCGGGGATACGCAGTGTATTCAGTGATCCAAAATGATGTGAAACAAAATTATACAGAAAACCTCATGTTATAAATATTGACATATAGCTGTAGTATATTACACACTTATTTTCTTATCCTTTAGTATTCCTGTGCAATATTTTCTGTTTATATTATTTCAATCATCATAATTCCCTATTTACAATGCATAATACTATCATAATCTATTATACACTTTTGAGTGGACCTTTCAGGAAATACTGCATTATTTTTCTTTTTGCATTGACAAATGACAGATCTCTTTTCTCTTTTCACGTATACTTATTTGATAAAGAATTTTATCAAGTTCCTTTTATCTCTATTTATTCATTTCTTTTCTTTAACTTTTGCATCAAAATGTACCAGGTGAATAAAATAGATTATCAAGGGTATGACCTTTATTGAAGAAATCTGTACATCAAAAAAAAAGGGAAAAAAAATTCTTGAGGCAGATATACAGGTGTGGATGAAGGACTGACTTGGAGAAGGAGAGGTGCAGAGGATTGGAAGAAAGAGAAATTGATGAAAGGAGGAGAAAGTGCCTGGATAAAGAGAGAGAGTAAAGTGAAGAGGTGCACGAAGGATGTGACTGATACTAGATAAGAGGAGACTGCAAGACGAGGAAAAAGGCAGAGGTGAAACAAAACAGCTGGCAGTAGTTATGCCCTTGTTCCTCTCACATGAAGCTCCTGCTCCCCTCCCATCTTCCCTGAAAAGCTAAATAACACAAGAAATAACAATGATCTTTACATGTTACTCTGAGAATAAAATTCTCATATAATAGCAATAATAGCTTTGATACTCAATACACAAATCACATTCATGACATATTGGACTGAAATTATATTCACTGTAACATATCAGAGTGCCCAATTTTTGTAACATCATTATGAATAGTTGTTGATTTAAACTAATTTCTTCACCAGCAAACTCACATGCCTAAGTTAACAATGTTGATTAGCATTTGATATACAGTCATTTAATTTATCCATCTCTTTCATTACAAGAAATCCTAGCCCATTATTCATATCCATCTCCTCCTTATAAATAAAATGATAGGTGAATGAACCACAACAGTATTAATTCAAAGGGCAAGAGAGAAAAAAATATATGTATATATTTTTATATCATCCCTCCCCCCCTTTCAGGAAAAGAAATCCTTAATGCAACATCCTATAAACAGGACTATTATGGTTTAGTACACAAAGTCACGAAGGTGGAATATAACACATACAACTATCCCCTAAGAGGAAAATGAACTGCTATTTATATATTGGTACTACTATCTTACAAGAAAATAAAACAAGTCAGTAGTGTTTTATCTTCTTTTATCGTTTTTATTTTACAATTTCATTTTCTTTGTATTTTTTTTTCAATGATTTTTCTTTCTCGTAATTCCTGAAAAATAAACTTATCTGCCATATGCGGCTATTATCATTATAGGTATAAAATACAGTTCAATACTACGTTGAGTACATGCTAGGATGCTCCGTAACAACAGTGTTGGGTCCCTCTAGTATCATGCAATTGTACAAGACAAAGAGTTGTGTTTGGTCGTCACAACTCAAAGATATCAAAAAGATTATTTCTGCAATTTTGAGGACATAAGACTGTTGCTGTTTGAATGGTTGATTGCACAAGTTGAAAATAACATAGAAAAAAGACAAACATTCATACCCAGCATTTACACATTTTCATACAATATTACCTAATGTCTGTATTCTGAGTGATGCGGACTAATATACTCCAAATAAATAATTTGCAATGCTGATGTTATCATCAATTTTTTCTTCTTTTTTCCCCCATTTTACACAAAATACCTGAACCAATTTGACCGAGTCCACAATCAGTAAGACAACGTAAAAGAATACAATTTTGTATTAACTAGTAGAAATGATATTAGAATACATAAGCTTTTTTACTTGACAAAAGCCCCATTCAAGATCAGCTTGCAAATGATGACAATGGCCATCTTATCCTTTGTGCTAGCAGCTTCACTTTCACAAGCAAGAGCCACCACCATCAAAGTATTGTGTGATAACTGCTTCCACCATAACATTAGACGTAACAGTTGCCAGCAACATTATACCTGTAATACTAGTCATTAGCATAAAAACGAAGTCTCCTGCCATATGATTATGATTTTATTATAAGAAAAAAAAAGTATATATACAACCAGGTTATGAGCATGAATATGGTAATAATTTAAAAAATTATGAGGTATGATTTCTAGATTTTTAAAGGAAGGTTAAGGTTTGTGGCTTTCAATGAACGGACTCCATGAAGAAAAAAAGTAAGGGTAACAAGCCTAGAAAAGGCCCTTTTTTCAAGAATACTGAACAACTAACAAATTGCAACCTTAAATATGCTCACTTTTCACAACCAGCAAGTCTTACTTTCATAAATTCTTACTCTTTCTCTATCGTACTCTCATATTTTTAAATAAGAAAAACCTGGTAATATCTGCTTACTATTCCAAAGTAGCACCCACACTTACTATACTACAACCAGAAACAAAGAATCCTTTCACCTAAAATTTGGTCCATATCACAATTATTACAGTGATATACACAACAATAGTAAACTAACTCACACACATTCATTCAAAACAAGCAAGCATGTAAGCAAGCGAGCAAAAGGCAAAATTTCTCCTACAATTTCTATAATCATACAAACAATAAGCAATTGGAACTTTACAACAGTGTCTTGCCTGCCTGTTTAAACTCAGGGTGCTTGGTTGTTACCAAGATAAATATATAAATGATTTAGCCTTATCCTTTCATCAAAAGGGCACTCGCCTTTATATCTCATATTCCTGAATTTGAGTAAAGATTTGGGTAAAATTTGCCAAAAATTCTCCAAATTAATTCCCCTACAATTATCTGCTGAAATATAATTACTTGTGTCAATTACTACTTCCCTTTACCCCTAGCCTTGTGGCAAAAAGACAGCTTTGTAAAAGTAGTTAAATACCAGATATAAATGAGATGTTCTACTGTGCATATGATATTGATACTACTATATAGTTTGAGTGGAAATGCAATTTTACACACAAGTTAACAAGAGGAGTTAACAATGTTCTATTTCATCAAATTCACAGGCATATAAGAGACAATTATTCTAACCAATTTCAACAACTGAATAGTAGAGAGGCATGGAATTTCTCTGCCCACCCCCATCTAAAACTGAAATAATAAATATAAGAGAAAGTAAGAACAAATTGGGGCGGGGGTGGCAAAAAGTGCAAAACAATTCTGAATCTTGCCTTCCATTTTGTAAAAATTTCCAGTATCTAGATGCTTTGCACTTCTCACACGAAAAAAAAAAACATCATAGACAAAATTTTCATTACCACTGGTTCCATTATGCTAAAGTAGACAATTACAGACTTGTACAGCATAAGACATAACACTGCTCCTAACACTACCACCACAGCACACCTAACTCAATCAACCATTCACATGAGGGATGAGTATCATGATAAATAAGGTATGTAACCACTAACATAGGTCTCCAGTTCAACAATATACATAATGATAATTGATGGATATTTTTTCCTGTAAGTTTCATTTAGAAAGAATACATAAACATGGTAATGTGGACACAAAGCTTTGTGAGCATAACACTTATGTATGATTACTGATAAGCAGGCAGATTGGGAAGGAGGAAGGGAGGAGAAGGAGGGGGGAGGGGAGAGGGGGGAGGGGGAGGGGGAGGGGGAGAGGGAGAAGAGATAGGAGAGAGAGGAGAGAGGAGAGAGAGAGAGAGAGAGAGAGCGAGAGAGAGAGAGAGAGAGAGAGAGAGAGAGAGAGAGAGAGAGAGAGAGAGAGAGAGAGAGAGAGAGAGAGAGAGAGAGAGAGAGGGAGGAGAGAGAGAGGAGAGAGAGAGAGGAGAGAGAGAGGAGAAAGAGAGAGGAGAAAGAGAGGAGAGAAAGAGAGGAGAGAAAGAGAGGAGAGAGAGAGAGGAGAGAGAGAGAGGAGAGAGAGAGAGGAGAGAGAGAGAGGAGAGAGAGAGAGGAGGGAGAGGAGGGAGAGGAGGGAGAGGAGGGAGAGGAGGGAGAGGAGGGAGAGGAGGGAGGGGGAGGGGGAGGAGGCAGAGGAGGAGGGGGGGAGGGAGAGGAGGAGAGAAAGAGAGAGGCAGGCATGAGAAGGAGAGGGAGAAAGAGGGGAAGAAAGGAAAAGTGGGCAGAGAGGGAGAGGAAATGATAAAGTGGGAAAATGCAAATTAGTGAAGTGGATATTGGACATAATTAAAAGATATGATGGAATGCAATGTGATATGAGATAGGTGAATTACTTTCAAAGTGAGACAATAAAAGTTGTGAATATTAGTGTGTGTGTAAATAGACAAGTATGTAAATGTGTAAGTAAATATAATTGAAAGTCTAAGTGGATAAAAGTGAAAGTTGAGTGCACAAAGAGAGAGAGAGAAAGAGAGAGAAAGAGAGAGAAAGAGAGAGAAAGAGAGAGAAGAGAGAGAGAGAGAGAGAGAGAGAGAGAGAGAGAGAGAGAGAGAGAGAGAGAGAGAGAGAGAGAGAGAGAGAGAGAGAGAGAGAGAGAGAGAAAGAGAGAGGGGGGGGTGAGAGGGTGTGGTATGGTGTGTGTGCATGTTGGTGTGTGTGCACATATGTATGTGTATGTGTATGTGTATGTGTATGTATGTCTGTATGTATGTGTGTGTATGTATGTGTGTGTATGTATGTGTGTGTATGTATGTGTGTGTATGTATGTGTGTGTATGTATGTGTGTATGTGTGTATGTGTGTATGTGTGTGTGTGTGTGTGTGTGTGTGTGTGTGTGTGTGTGTGTGTGTGTGTGTGTGTGTGTGTGTGTGTGTGTGTGTGTGTGTGTGTGTGCATTCAAGTATGCGTTCATGTATCTGTTCATGTATCTGTTCGTGTATGTGTTCGTGTATGTGTGCATGTATGTGTGCATGTGTGTGTGCATGTGTGTGTGCATGTGTGTGTGCATGTGTGTGTGTGCATGTATGTGTGCATATGTGTGTGCATGTATGTGTACATGATGTGTGCATGTATGTGAGCAAGTAGTGTGTTTTTCTACAGATGTGAGTGTTTGGGTGAATGTTGTTATGTAAGAAAGTGAGAATGAGTGCATGAATGAGTACAAGTGTGGGTGAATGAGTGCATGTGTTACTGTTACTGTTAGTGTTATGTGTGAGTGTGAGTAACAGAGTAAAAGTGAGTGTGAGTGTGAGTATGTATGAGTGTGAGTGTGAGTGTGAATGTGAGAAAATGAGTGTGTACATATCTGAGAGAGAGTGAGTGTCTATGCATATTTACGATTTTCTCTTTTATATATTCATATATAGACCCAGTTATTGAGCATGACAACTAAACAAAATTCCAATCACTCGTAAAGAGCAAAATTTAAAATCAGAAAGTTGCTACTGCCTGCTATTAGTATTGATTGGGATATGACCTTTTCATCATGACCCTTAAAATTATGATACCCAGCACAAATATACTATATTTGGCTTATCAACATCTTGTAAATGAATTTAAAATGATAAAAAAATAAAAAAAAATCATAATTAAAAAAAATAAATAAATATTGTTATCAACCATGCCTTTTTACCATTGATTGAATGATATATGCGTACACACTAAGATTAGCGGAATGAATAGTACTACATTAAAAGTGTCCCGGCTGATATACTAATTACATGATTATTTTATTTGAGAACACTGAAGTATATAATTTTTTGGCAAACTTAATTTCTCTATGAATGAATGGCTAGAATTCATTCATACCAAGCATTACAATGTAAGGCTGTTGTGTTCAATTACAGTGTTTTAAAAAAGGTTTCACTGATATTTACCACTTTCCAAACTGAAATGCTTGTAAGTGCTCATTACTGTAACAGCACACACCATCAAGGTCAATTACCTCATCAAATACTTAGTATTCAACATCACTGTGTTAATTATCAATATCATGATCTTGAGCACTAGCAGGTGGCATGGTGAATTTATAGCAGTGAAAATAAGATCTGTATCTCATAATAAAATGAAAAATCCCAGAAAAAATAGATATATTAACCCTGATATTACTGCTATGTCCGTTGCCTTTAGAAATTCACTACCAATTAGTTACAGTACTTTCTTATTTATACAAATAGGCATATGATGCCCTTTACTAATGTCCCAGCTCCTCATTCAAGCTGTTTTTTTGTTTTTGTTTTTGTTGTTTTTTTACCATTTTATCTATCTATTTCTCATTTTTTTGCACTTTTGTCCCATTGTGATACCAACATTCAACCACTAAACCATCAAGCTTAAGTCTCTGAAAGCATGATCATATTGTTGGGCACAATTTCAGGTTACAATCAGAACCACTACTTAAAGACTTCTGGTTACAATTTCATTTGTGAATGAATTAATATATGATGAAAAGTCATTAAAAACAAAGTCTGGAGAAAAGTTATGTTCCACTTGGAGGAACATACATATTGGTAAAGGAAGTATATCTATATATAGTATAAAAGAACCAAATGTGTAACTTTTGCCAAAAGAAAATGAAATAAAAATCCTCCTTGAATGAGACAAGACCAAGTCAACAGATGCAGACGACCTTTTCATTCCTCGTACCCTTACTCATTTACCAAGGCTCGGATATAACCACTTAAACTGCCAACATCTGATTTCAGGCTCCTAGAATGAACCAAAGAGTTACTTGGGCAATAATAATCTTTCCCACTGAATGTATCACTCTAAAAAAATGTGTGATGTATCATCCATTAATTCATCAACCTTTAAATGTTCCTCATTTTCCTTTTCCACTGCACATCACAGCACATTCCTCCACCTTCAGCATGGTTCACTTGAAGTGAATTATGAAATTGTTTCGTGTGGCTGCAAGTTGAGGAGGTTCAGGGGTGAGGACATCAGGAAGTTCAATGCTTGAGAGCCTCTGTAAGAAATTACAAAACAAGTCAGTTGCTTCTGTACTTACTTCCAAGAAAAATTCTGCAGCAATAGCATTTACAGGGGCTTAAATAGAAGGAAAACAAACCTGTTAATAATTTGAAACATCATATTGTCAGTTATAATTAGGCATGTAATCCTAAAATGACTAGCTAATACCAATGTCATGTAAATGGTAAACAATTACCAACAAATAACTGATGAGATAAAACTTCAGAGTTTATCACTGTGGCTTCTCAATATTAGCAAATCTTACTTTAAAGGCAGGGTAACAAGGTAATAACATGAAGTACACAGCCCTTAACCAAACATAATAAAGCATATATGAATACTGTCATTTTATCAACTTAAAATATAAAATGATAAACAGAAACTATAAACAGAAAGCAAACACAGGATTTACTAAAATCCAGAAAGGTAACACTGCATTCTAAGTATGTTTATCCCTGGTAGTCCCTATCAGTGGGTACTTTCAAATACAAAAACTGTATGTTCCACAACAGCTGGTGCCACCAGATGTATGAGCCTCTGATAAGCATGGCAATTTTATTGCAAATATGTTAGTCACACATTCACTTTTATACATTAAGATGATCTTTTTTAAAGTACTCATGTTGAAAATATATGCATTTCTACAGCCTTTCTATTTCTAACCCCATTACATTCACTTGTTGCTTGTCCTGAAACTTCATCAAATAAGTTAAATCATACAAGTTGAAGCATATAGCAAGTCTCAATTCCACAGATATACCATTTATTTTTGCCGCATTTTGACATTACATTTGATATCTTGAGACAGGCAGCTCGGTTACAGCCAGGTGAAGTTGTTATGTCATCCAGCCCAGGCTCAAGATCTTCAGCATCAAAACCATAATATTCAAGCCATTATCAAGCATGAATCAAGATTTGGCATGAGAAAAATGTGGCAATAGTTTTCACAATTTTTTCTTGAAAGTAATGGCTCTTAAATGTTTTAAACAAGTTGAAATTGGATTACACTGATAGTATCAATCATGTGTCTGTCACTTGACCAGATAGAAAATGATGACCTACATATACCATATAAAAGGCTTTAATGTTGCTTTATGCAATAAGGAACACCAAACAATACATACTTACCTTTTACTTTTCAGCAGTGATTTACCTAAGTTTCAAACTGATTACCAATTACAAAAAAAACAAACATCAAACCAATTATCCAGAGATATTTCTAGACTGAATTTCCAGTTACTTTTAAAGTTTCATGCCAGAGATAATCATGCAAATACTTACAAACATGCAAAACAATATACTATTAATTGATGGACTTCCTCTATGGAAGAGCTGTACTATATATGTGTAAGAATTGTTACATTGTATGCAAGAATGCTACGTGCAAAATACATGGTGCAAGCATGCTGATGTACGTGTGAGCATTTTTGGAAATGTTGTATCTCGACAGAGAAAAAAATAAAGGAATTAGGAGGAATTAAAAAAACAATAGGCTCTAATCAATATTCTAAAACGTATTTATTTATAGAAAATACGTACTATGCCAAATGCATGATTATATGCAGTTAGATATGTATAATAGTATCTATAAGGGTAGGCATCTGTAAATAAACATGCAAATCACTCATGTCAGTAAAGAAGATAGAATCTTTTACCTCTTAACCCGATAACTGCGACACATATCACACGATGGCGAGTGTGTAGTTGCGGCATACATCATATAGTGAAAAAGTTTGTTTTTTTTCTTTATTATTATTATTGTTACACAATGCTTCTACACAAAGCAAACAGTGGATGATTCAAGCAACTATGTTGAACAAATCATGGTAAAGTCAAACCAAAGTTATAATGGAACAAAATTTGCTGCTCCACATGACAGGGCCAGCAGGCCTCCCCATTACACTGCACATGAAATAATAAGTAAAAAAAAATAACTGTGCAATTACTGGGTTAATAAAGTGTCTTAACAAAACACATTTTGCAGTAAAATGCAATCAGTGATTTGAGCAAAAACAATATATTTCCTAGTCAACCAGGAACACAAAAATACAAAATAATAAGAATCACCTATGTTGTGAACTTGCAAGCAAAACTACTTATCTAATATCACAACTACTCACAAACATGCATATCACGGAGAAACTACTTGTAAAACAGAAAAGGGGTCACTAAAGATACATTTCATTTCATTTAATTGTGGTACATGAACCATCATCCCCACCAGTAAAGAAATACAATACTATGACCAGCATAATATTCCACAGACCTGTCTTGCCAGGACCAGAGGGGGAGGCTTGACGACGGGCCTTGAGAATGACACGCGCCCGTTGGTGGGAGCATGGTGGCTTTGTCCGTGGTGGTGGCTTAGGCTGTGATGGTGGTGGTGATGAGCTGGCTTATACTGAGGGTTGTGAATGGGAGGGGGAGGAGGAGGGGTTGGGGCACTGGGGTGGGTGGGTGGAACATTCTGCGGCGAGTGGTGCAAGGGCGAGGAGCTGGACACTGGTGGGTGATGGGCGTTTGGCATATTTGAGGAGTTACAGTGGGAGGGAGGTACACTTAGGGGATGATGGTGGAGGGCTTGTTGCGCAGGTGGATGAGAGTGTACATTACCTTGAGGTGGGAGTATATTTGTCAAGGGTGTGGGGGGAGGAACTGGCGGCGGTGTTGAAGTATTCCTCATGGCATGAGCTGAGTGTATGTGAGTAGGAGAATATGTAGGTGGAGTGCTGGCAGGAGAATGAGTGGGAGGAGGAATGTGCATGGGACCTAAATGGCTGGCTCCTGTGTTCTGTTGATGCTGTAGGTG